GAGAACACTTAGAGAACTAAAAATAGACCTACCATTTGACCCTGCGATTCCTTTATTAGGTATATTCCCAGACAACCATAAAGAATATATTCCCAGCAGCCATAAAGAATGATGGAGACTTTACGTCCTTCATGTTCACATGGATGGAGCTGGAAAATGTTTTTTTAGCAAAGTATCACAGGAATGGAGGATAAAGTGTCCAATGTACACAACCCTATTATGAAATTAATTTGTACCTTTTATATGAAAGCTATAACCTAATGACAGCCTAAGAATGCCGGGAGGGGGATTGGAGGGATCACTTCTGAGGTTTATCTTACAGGGGTACAAGTGAATCTTTCTAAGAGTAGAATGTGAATGTTTTGAAACAATAACTAAGAAAATGACATGAAGGCTATGTTAACCAGTTTGATGGAAGTGTTTCGGATTGTGTGTGAAAACCCCACACTGTACCCCAGAAGTGCATTAATGTACATAGTTACCATTCAATAAAAAAAGGAAAGAAAAATTATATATAAAAGTATCAACTAAAAAAAATCATAAGGAATATTTAAGGAGAAATGCTAAAATAAATATTTTTAAATTGCTGGAAACAAGATCATTATAACTCACATTCTCTGTAGAGGTGGAACCCTGAGGAAGACTGGGGCTGAAGGCCATGAGGTCAGCCTTAGGAGGACTCTCTCCAGAGCACGCTCTCTGCTGCCCCTGCTGTGAGTTTGACCAGCTCCCCACTGCGCTGGAGCACACCAGCCTGGGCTTGCTGGGCCTGCATGAACCCTTGGTGGGTGGCGCAGAACATTGAAGCACTGTGTACAGCAACAGCGTGAGCACCAACAGACTAGACACCGCACAGATGGCAACAATGAGGTACGCGTTGACATCCATCAGCGACACATCTGGCACCACATTGCCCTCCAGTGCCCTAGAAGAGGCTTTTGCCGCCTGGCCGCTCTCCACTAGTGAAACCAACACAGTAGCGGTGGCCGTCAGCGCTGGCTCACCATGATCTTTTACCAACACCAACAAGTGCTGGCGCGGAGTGTCCACTTCGTCTAGGGCCCGTGTGGTGCTGATCTCCCCAGTGTACAGACCTACGCGGAATAGGCTATTCATGCCACCCGCTGCAGGCTGCAGCTCATAGGAAAGCCACGCGTTGTACCCAGAGTCCGCATCCACTGCCCGCACCTTCGTCACTACATGGCCTGCGCCCACCGACCGTGGCACCAGCTCGCTAACTGCACCAATGCCCATGCCAGCCCGAGGTGCCAGCAGCTTGGGCGCATTGTCGTTCTCATCAAGCACAAACACCTGCAGCGTTACATTGCTGCCCAGAGGTGGCACGCCTGCATCGCGCGCGCTCACCTGGAACTGCAACAGCTCCAGCTCCTCGTGGTCCAGAGGCTGCAGCGCGTACACCTTGCCGCTCTCCGCGTGCACCGACACGTAGCTCGATAGTGCGCGTTCGCCCACCCGCCTCTCCACCAGCGAGTAGGACACCAGCGCATTCTCCTGTGCGTCTGCGTCCCACGCCGACACAGTGAAGATGTGACAGCCCGGCGGATTGTTCTCCTTCACGAACACAGAGTACTCCGGCTGTGGGAAGGCTGGCGCGTTATCATTCACATCGGCCACCTCCACAGACACACTGGCCGTGGCCCACAAAGAAGGCGAGCCCTCATCTCGAGCTGTCACCACCAACTCATAGGCAGACACACGTTCTCGGTCGAGGGCGCTGTCCAACACCAACGAATAGTAATTTTTGAAGGTGGATACAAGCTTGAAGGGAACTTGGGGCGTCAGTGAACAGGTCACCTGACCGTTGGCTCCAAAATCTAGGTCAAACACGCTAATCAATGTGATGACTGTGCCTGGCAGGGCGTCCTCGGAGACAGGGAGAGACAGTGAAGTGATAGTCAACTGTGGAGCATTGTCATTAGCATCCACAATTTCCACAAGAACTGTACAATGACCAGCCAGTGGTGGGAAACCTTTATCAATAGCCTCTACTCGAATTTTGTAGGCTTTACTTTCTTCAAAATCAATTAATCCTGTCACTGTAATTTCCCCAGTTACAGGGTCTATGCGGAACTTGGATTTTACATCTGGAGAAACATCACTAGAGAATGAATAAATAATATCCCCATTCAAGCCTTCATCTAAATCTGATGCATTGGGGTTAATCACCAGCGTCCCAATAGAAACATTTTCTGGTAATTTCACTTTATAGAGTGTTCTGTCGAAAACTGGGGTATTGTCATTGGCATCCAGCACTGTGATGAGTAACCAAACAGTGCCAGTCAGTTCGGGTTTGCCCCCATCGGTGGCCATGAGCAATAAATGAAGCTCTGAAGCTTCTTCTCTGTCTAAAGGCTTCCGTAATATAAGTCCAAGAGGTTTTACCTGCTCATCCTTGGTTGGTACATCCAGCGAGAAATACTCATTGGGGCTCAGTCTGTAAGTGAGCATAGCGTTCTCTCCAATATCTGCATCGGATGCGCCCTCTAGTGGAAACCGAGAGTCAACTGGCCTAGATTCCGCGATGAACAGATTCTTTTGTGCAGCTGGGAACACAGGCGGGTTGTCGTTAATGTCCTTCACCTCCACCTCCACATGGAAAACCTGAAGCGGCCTGTCTACAATCACCTCCAGGTGAATACTGCACTCCACGCTCCGCCCGCACAGCTCCTCCCGGTCAATCCGAGAATTCACGAACAAAATGCCATTCTGCAGATTTACCTCCAGAGGGTCCCCGTGGCCTTTGGACACCACCCGAAACAGGCGGGGCACCAGTTCCGCCAGCTCCAGCCCCAGGTCCTGCGCGATGCGTCCCACGTAGTTGCCGTGTTTGGCTTCCTCGGGAACTGAGTAGTGGAGCTGGCCACTCCCTGCTTCCCAGGCTGCTAGAAGTATAATAAACTGTAATAGATGCCGACTTCCTGGGTCACATCCACGGGAGCACACCATTTCAATTTATTGGCTTTTTATTCTATTCAGCGAAACTTGCCTCCAAATGTATAGCAATCTTTTCATCCCTTCATTTCAATCCTGAAGCGCTGGCCATTGTTGAGCATCCGAAGGAGAGTGGAGTGTCTTTCCAATGGGAAATGACTTGGGTTTGTTGATAATAAAAGAATTTGCGGTAAAGAGCGACATCATGTGGCCCACATAGTAAGCACGAATTACAAAAATCAGTAAAATGAAAAAGCTGTATTTCAAAAACTGAATATTTTCTTCATTGTTTTCGAAGTGTAGGACACCATCTCTCACGCTTGTTATAGGCATTCTTAGATGATTAGTGACTTTTGAATATTTCATGTGACCATACCTGTAGTTTCCTTATGCCTTGAAAAACGTTTTTCCACACACTTTTAAATAAAGACAGAAACCTAAGTGACTAAATCATTTAAACTTTGAACAATACTATGTTCAAATTCCTTTGTTGTAGAGTTCAGGAAACCTCACGTTCTTAGATTCATTATCCTGTTAAGGAAACTTCAGCTAGGGACCCAGGATCGCAAGAATCTACTAATGGAAGAGAAACAAAAAGTTGGGGGGGTTGGGGAGGGGGCTGTATTTTGTTTTGTTTTGTAAAGAGGTAGGAAATATTAACTACTATTGAGATACTTTTCTGAAGAAAACAAAATAATAAAGGGTTTTGGAATCTTTGAAAAGGTAAAATTTGTATTAAGTAAACGTTTTGAGGAGGAAGTATTCTGAAATTTTCTCTTCATCAGAATTTATATATTCTGTTACAGGACTTCATAATTCCATATTTGGTTGCTCTTCTATCCTTTTTAAGCCTTATGTTTTATGAATACATAACTGTTTTTACAGTCTCCAATATGATTTGGATTATTTCTTTTATAACGTAACTTTATTTCATCAGATAAATTTTAATGTTCACCCATAATTCATAATCACTTCTTGAGGTATTCTATTCTTTTTGTATCTACTTTATAGAGCTACTTTTCTTGAATGTTTCACTTCAATGTTCCCAGCTGCAAGTAAAATAATTACATCTGTATTCTAATGCTTTCTTAAATAAGTTTTTATAATTGCTATTCTCCTGGAGTATTACAACAGCTTCTTATGGTGTCACCTTGCTTATCCCAATCTCATTCATCCTGCATTTAACTCTTATAGTCATCTTTCTGAAACACTTCTTATTCTTATTGCTTCACAATTTTTGATAGCTTTCAAATGGCTTTTGAGAAGTGTCGAAATTTCTTAGTCTAATTCTCCAAGTTATTCAAGATTTTTCTCATATTGTTTTTTCTTGCTTTATCTCTTTTTTTATTAAATCATAGCTATATATATTAAAATACTAATGGGTACAACATGCTGATATTATATACAGTTTGAAATACTTACATCAAACTGGTTAACATAGCCTTCACCACACTTCCTTAATTATTGTGTTAAGACATTAATATTCTACACTTAGTAGATTTGACATGTACCCTAGTAAAATGCACCATAGGTGTGGTCCGACCCATTACCCTCCTTCCATACATCCTTCCCCCTCTTCTCCCCTCCCGCCTCCTCTTTCCCCTTCATCTTGGGCTGTAGTTGGGTTATAGCTTATGGGAACTTCATGCTATAACCAAAGCAGACCATTCCTTGTAATACCATTCCTAGAAAGGTATATTTGGGATTTTCTATGTATGAATTTGTTTTAGCTACTCTCTTCTCAAGAATATCTATTTTTCTTCATATTCTCATATTCTCCCAGGGTAAACTCCTCCATTTTAAAACCACTAAAATCATCATAATTCTTTTCTTTTTTTTTGAGACGGAGTCTCAAGCTGTCGCCCTAAGTAGAGTGCCATGCATCATCGTAGCTCACAGCAACCTCCAACTCCTGGGCTCAAGTGATCCTCTTGCCTCTGCCTCAGTTTTTTCTATTTTTAGTAGAGATGAGGTCTCACTCTTGCTCAGGCTGGTCTGGAACTGTGAGGTCAAACAATCCACTTGCCTTGGCCTCCAAGAATGCTAGGATTACAGGTGTGAGCCACCGCTCCCAGCCAAAATCATCATCCTAAATCTTGATGGACTCATTCAGTAAGGGGGGAAAAAGGCAGAAATTTTTTCTATAATTCTTATTACACTGTGATTTACCTTTCCTACACTTCTTATTATATTTTGCCTTATATTGTGATCATATTTACATAGGATACATTTCTTTATCTTTCTATGAAATTCTTGAAGTCAGCAACTGGGTCTTGTTGATTTGATGATCCGTGGTAGGCACAGAATGATATTCTTAGATACTCTTCTACAAATTTTCTTTATAAAAACATTTATCATTCAATAGTAATGGCTGTAGTTCTTCTTTACTTACAAAGAAAGCATGCTTTTTTAAGGTAGTTAGATATCATTTTCCATACTAATGATGCTCTTTGTTGATTACTATAAGTATAGTCAGAGCAATTTTGTCACTCTTAAATATGTGGGAGATTTTTTTTTTTGCATTTTAGTGCAATATTAACTATGTGTTTAAAGACATGTAGCTCACACCTGTAATCCCAGCATTTTAGGAGGCTGAGACAGGAGGATTGCTCGAGCCCAGGAGTTTCCAACTAACCTAGGCAACATAGCCTCCACCTCTACAAAAAAAATCAAAAAATTAGCCACAGTTGGTGGTGGCTACTGCCTGTAGTCCTAGGTGCTCAAGAGACTGAGGTAGAAGGATTATCTGAGTCCAGGGGTTTGAGGCTGCAGTGAATTGTGATCAAACCCCTGCACCTCAACCTGGGTGACAGAGCAAGACCTTGTCTTAAAAAAACCCTTAGAACTGAATAAAACTCTATATGACAGAACTTGTGTAATATAGCTAAAGTAGTACTTAAAGGGAAACTTAGTTTTTATTTTAAAAAACAGAGAATACTATATGTATGTATGTATATGTGTATATATGTACATATGTATTTCTTTTTTTATTCTGAAAATGGTGGTTCATGACTGTTATACTAGCGCTCTGGGAGGCACAGGTGGGAGGATCAAGTCAGACCAGAAGTTCAAGACTAGCTTGGGCAACACAGGATCTTATCACCACAAAAAAATTTAAAAATTAGCCAAGTGTGGTGGTGCATGCCTGTGGTCCTAGTTACTTGGGAAGCTAAGGCAGGAGGATGGCTTGAGCCTAGGAGTTTAAGGGTACAATTGGCTATGATCATGCCACTGTACCCAATCCTAGGTGACAGAGCACAAACCCATCTGTAGAAAAACCAGACAAACAAAAGAAGAAAATAATTAAGGAGGAAAGAAAGAAATCTAAAATTAAAAGTAATAATAAACCAAAAATTTGGGACCAAGCTCTCCTTTCAGCAGCATATATGTTAAAATTGGAATAATATGGAGAAGATTAAACTGATTCTTGCACAAGGATGACACGCAAATTTGTGAAGCATTCCATATTTTAAGATAAAAATTTTTAACCAAAATATGTTAGGATTATCTCAAGGGCAGGCACTCACAATTATACCTCAGCATAATAATAATGTGTAAATTGAAAAATATGCAAATTTCAAGAAGATTAAATCACTGTTCCAATGACTGTTAATGATAAGGTAAGGGACTATAGATAAAAGAATGAGAAATCTTAAGTAATGATAAATAATAATTATCAAGATATATTATTAAGTGAATAAAGTAAGATTAAAAGCAATACTAATCTGTTTTTAAAGGAGTAGGGAAGTTTATTAACATATAAAGAAAATATCTCTAGAAGGATACCCAAGAAATAAGAATGTTCAAAGTATTTAAAAAGGTATATTAAGCAGATTTGTGAAAGAGATGGAAGGGAAATTTTAACTAAATTGTTTTGTTCTTCTAGAATATTAAACTATATAAATGTATTTCCTATTAAAATCAATAAAATGGGCTTGGCGCCTGTAGCTCAGTGGCTAGGGTGCCAGCAACATATACTGGAGCTGGCAGGTTCGAATCCAACCCGGGCCTGCAAAACAACAATGACAAATACAACCAAAAAAATAGCTGGGCGTTGTGATGGGCACCTAGAGTCCCAGCTACTTGGGAGGCTGACGCAAGAGAATTGCTTAAGCCCAAGTTTTCCAGGTTGCTGTGAGCTATGATGCCACTGCACTCTACTGAAGGCAACATAGTGAGACTCTGTCTCAAAAAAAATACGTATATATACATATATGTATGTATATATATAAAGATTTAGTGCAAAGATATTACTGTTGATAAACTGGATTTTAAGCATAACTATAATTTTTAGTACATGAATTAGCACTAATAAAGAATTATCATCTAAGAAGCTGCTACAATAATTATGTATAATTTTAAAAAACACAAGAAATTGAAGAAAAGATAACACATTTAATATTAAAGAATGAGGAGGAAATACTGCTGTGAATAAGAATTTTGCCACTTACATTGTCTGTGGAGGAGGGACCCTGCGGAAGACTGGGACTGAAAGCCATGAGGTCGGTCTTGGGCATACCCTCCCCAGAGCACACCTTCTGCCTTCTCTGTTGAGGGTAAGAACAGCTCCCCACCTCACTGGAGCACACCAGCCTGGGCTTGCCCGGCCCATACACGCCCTCAGTGGAAGGCGCCGAGCACCGCAGCGCAGTGTACAGCACCAACGTGAGCACCAACAAACTGGACACTGCACAGATGGCAACAATCAGGTACACGTTAACGTCTACCATTGCCATCTCTTGGCTTGCAGCGCCTGCCAATACCCGCGACGAGACTTTGGGCGCCTGGCCGCTCTCCTCTAGAGATACCAGTACAGTGGCTGTGGCAGTCAGTGCAGGCTCACCGTGGTCCTTCACCAGAACAAGCAGGCGCTGGAGCGACGCGTCCGCCTCGTCCAGGGCACGCGTCGTGCTGATCTCGCCGGTATACAGTCCCACGCGGAAAGGGCTGCGGGCACCTCCAGCCCCTGGTTGCAGCTCGTATGAAAGCCACGCGTTGTAGCCAGAGTCAGCGTCCACTGCACGCACCTTCGCCACCACATGGCCCGCGCCCACAGACCGAGGCACAAGCTCACTCACAGCGCCTACAATGCTGCCCGCCCGAGGTACTAGCAGCGCTGGCACGTTGTCGTTCTCGTCCAGCACAAACACCTGCAGGGTCACGTTACTGCCCAGCGGTGGCACACCCGCGTCGCGCGCGCTCACCTGGAACTGCAACAGCTCCAGCTCCTCGTGGTCCAGAGGCTGCAGCGCGTACACCTTGCCACTCTCCGCGTGCACCGACACGTAGCTCGACAGCGCGCGCTCGCCCACCCGCCTCTCCACCAGGGAATAGGATACCAGCGCGTTCTCCTGCTCATCCGAGTCTCGCGCCGACACAGTAAAAATGTGGCAGCCTGGAGGATTGTTCTCCTTCACAAACACCGTGTACTCGGGTTGCGGGAAGGCCGGCGCGTTGTCGTTCACATCAGCCACCTCCACTGACACGCTGGCTGTGGCCCACAGAGAAGGAGTGCCCCCGTCCCGCGCTGTCACCACCAACTCATAGACAGATATACTCTCGCGGTCCAGGGCGCCGTCAAGCACCAGCGAATAGTAATTCTTGAAGGTGGACACCAGCTTGAAGGGTACGTGCGCAGTTAGGGTACAGGTCACCTGCCCATTGGCCCCTGAGTCAAGGTCAGACACTCTGATCAGCGCAATAACAGTGCTTATTGGAGCATCCTCTTTGACAGGCAGAAAAAGGGAAGTTATGGCCATTTCTGGGGTATTATCATTCACATCCAGGAGTTTCACTATTACTTTGCAGTGCCCTGATAATGGAAAAGTGCTTCTATCCACTGCATCAATATTAATCTCATATAAATTACAGTCTTCATAATCTAGAGTTCCCTTAACTTTTATTTCACCACTATTAGAATTGATTGTAAATTTAGATTTTACATCGTCAAAAACAAGATTACTAAAGAAATACGCTATTTCCTTATTAATGCCCTCATCTGCATCTGAGGCGTTCAGTTTAATAACTAATGTCCCATTCGGTGTATTTTCCAGTAGTCTCACATTATAAATAGATTTATCAAATTCCGGGGCGTTATCATTCGCGTCCAATACATTGATCAACAATTGAACTGTACCTGTTAGTTCAGGTTTTCCTCCATCAATTGCAATCAATAATAGACGATGTTCTTCGGTTTCTTCCCTATCTAAGGATTTCTTCAAAACTAGCTCTAAAAAAATCGCTTTTTCTTCGTTTGTTTTAATATCCAAGTCAAAATATTCGTTAGGATTTAATTTATATCTTAATTCTGCGTTTGCTCCAATATCCAAGTCAGATGCGCCCTCTATAGGAAATCGCGAATCTGGCATTCTTGACTCTAAGATGAATAATTTTTGTTCTTGTCGGGAGAACATGGGAAGATTGTCATTAATGTCCTTCACCTCCACCTCTACATGGAAAACTTGCAGTGGCCTGTCCACAATCACCTCCAGGTGGATGCTACACTCCGCGCTCCGCCCGCACAGCTCCTCCCGGTCAATCCGAGAATTCACAAACAAAACGCCATTCTGCAGATTCACCTCCAGAAGGTCCCGGCGGCCTTTGGACGCCACTCGAAACAGGCGGGGCACTAGTTCCACCAGTTCCAGCCCCAGATCCTGAGCGATGCGGCCCACAAATGTGCCGTGTTTGGCCTCCTCCGGAACCGAGTAGTGGAGCTGGCCGCTCCCCACCTCCCATGACGCGAGGAGAAGCCAGAACAGCAGGCGCCCGGATTCCGGACCCTGGGAATATACCATCTCAATCTTGTTCCAATTTTCAAATCTCTATTGCATCACCACACGATATTTTTTAGAAATTTAATTCCCAATTTACTCTATATTATTTATTTGCTCACCTCTTTAAGCTTCCTAGCAGAGCCAAAATGGAAGGTCCTTTTTCTTTCTAAGGAAAATGTGCTCAGTGTATTCCCTTGATGTTGGGGAGAAGGGAAAAAACCTTGCGGTGTCCAGCGACATCATGTGGATGAAAGGGTAAGTATTCTATTTTGTTTTGTTTTATTTACCTATATTTGTCAAATATTTCTCAAATAATTCCCAATATCAGTGACGTGATTCCTATGACTCTTTATATCCCTTATCTCCATTCAAAACATGGCATTAAAGTCTAACTAAAAATGCATCAGTGTAAACATATCATTAAAATATTACAATAACAACACATCTGAATTTGCAAAATCCCAATCCTTCCTAGAGTAATCTGTATTGGTTTGTTTTATATAAAGAGGGGTTTATAGGTCTAAACTGATAAAAATAACTTTTTAAAAGTTAAAGTTTTGACTTTTTCTTCTTTCGCGACTTAAATATATCTTGTTAAATTTGTTAAATTTTTCTGTGTTATTTTAATGGAATGTTTAGATATTATCTCCATATAACTCACAAAACATTTTTGTTCTAAGTTCAATGGTTAATGCTAATATTTTGTTGATACTGTTTTCAAAATAACTAAAACTATTTTGATAACATTCTTCACTAGTTTCCAAATAGATAAAAATGTATTTCTTTAATTTCTTTATAATTTCTATTTATTTTTAGTGTTGACTGAAAAACAGTAATATGGAGGTTTCAATTTTCTTGAAGGGGAAAGGATAATAGAACAACTTTGGTAGGTTTTTGACTCCATTTTCAAATTAGAAGTATCTAGATAACATTTCTTCAAATTGTTATAGGTGATAAAGCAGTTATTTAAAAATTTGAAATCATATATCTTTGCATTTATGCAGCAAGTCGTAAGTAAGATGTATTATTTCACAAAATGTTTAAATTCCAGTAAAAGTAATCATGTTAAAAATATTACTTTGTTAAGCAGGCTACTTTTATATATTAGTTTCTTTAATTTTCAGTATCCCAGCTGTTTACTGAATAGTACTGTTTAGCCTGACTTACTACATCAAATCTTAATAAAAGTAGTCAAAAGAAAATTTCACCAACTTTTAAATTGAAGAAATGGTTAATATTCTGCTTGTGTATATTTGTAAATATTACAAAACCTTCCTTCCTTAAAAGAGGGATCAAATGATCAATAATTATGTCACTCAATACTTTTACATTTAAATTATAGCCTGAAAAAAAATAAGATATTTAATAAGAAAATACAAAGTCAGTTGAAATTCACTTGATTTCTAGTATTCAAACTTGTAATGCAAAGAAATAAGATACTGTCACAGAATTGTTTCTGATGATCTTAACAGGGGGATTTATTATTTCCTTTATGTTTTATAAGATTCTTAGTATCTCTACTATCATGACTTTACTCTAACTTTCAGGTCACTTAAATGAAAAATGCCATAATTGTAGTCAAGAATTCAACTGATGATTTTGACAGTGGACTGGAAAAACAAGAGAAAATTACTAAAGTAAAAAATGGATAAGAATAAAATATAACCCATGTAACAAAGAGAAAAAGTTATTCAAGAATGCAAATTGCTATAAAAAACAAGAGATATAGTGAAAGAATTTAACATATATGTACTTAAAGTCATACATGAGGAAAGAAAATGGGCAAGAGAACCAATATTTGAAATGTGCTAAGTCTCATCTTAAACCAATAAAATATATCAACCCGCAAATATAGAAACTACAAACAAGATAAAAAACAAAGCAAACCAGAACCATGCGTATCATAGTAAAAGTGTTAAATACCAAAAAAAGTGTAAAAACAGTTAGAGAAAAAAGATACACTACCAAACAATAAATATGATGGTCATCTGCTCATAGAACACTATAGAATGTCACTTTGAAAGCACTGAAAAATAATTTCAATACCCAAAAAACTTCCTCAAAAGTGATAGTAAAATAAAGATGTTTTCAGATATTAAAAAAATTAAAGTTTCTAAACCAGCAGCCCACACTAAAAGAAATATTAAATAATTTCTTCAGGAGGAAAATGATCCCAGAGAGAAACACAAATGTAAATGGGTGTTAACTGTACAAGACAGTATGATAATGTATTCTGTATCTAGACTATATGAAAAATTGAAACTCAAGTCAGTAACAAAAAAAGAAGCACAGGTAAGTGCAGTTATTATGCAAGGTTTTAGCACTTTTTGTCTAAAAGTGGTAAAAGTACTGGTATAATTTAGGTTTTAATGAGTCATGGGTGTATGTTATAATCTCTGCAAAATCAATAAAGGAGTTAGTAAAGGAATATATAACTTAAAATAAACAGAGGTAATGACAGCAGCAAGGCAGTATTATAAGAAGCCTGAGACATACCAAGTCAATAACAATACATGGGCCAGTCCCACAAACCAGTTAAGAAGCTTCTGTGCTCCAAGCAAGTACAAACCCAGCTGTATCAAAGCTAGTAGGAAAATTTGGGACACCCTCCAATTATAGTCCTGTCCCCCAGCACTGTCCAACTCAATCATGAGAAAACCCCCAGTTCCTGGCTTCTCCCTGGGGAGGAAAATAGAAAAGTAAAGCATGTACTCAAAATGTTCTCACTTTTCAGGAGGACTGTCCAAGAGAATTATTTTTGTATCACTTGTCTTAGAGCACTGATGGAACCCAGCATATGCTAGATGCCTGATACCAAGTGAGAAAAGTAAAGAATTTATGATACAGAGAACCTGTGACACAGCAGACAGAACACAATTTACCTCAGCACCTTCTCCCTCGTTAGGGAAAGAGAAGAGTAGAGCATGCATCCAAAGTTCCAAATTTTTAGTGGGCTGTCCAAGGGACTAGTTTTGGTCTCATCTGACTCAAGACAGTGGTAGGACTCAGCATATTCTAGATACTTGGGAGGTGCTCAGAACCAAAAAGACCTTAGCGAATACTACTGCTCCAGAGGACCCACAGTACAGCACACAGATACCAATGAGGAGCAAGAGATTAGAGTTCCCCCGCCCAAAAGAAACCAACAGATCCCTCTAATTAGGAACTTACACACACACCAGTCCATGGCAGATGCATCCACAGAAAAGGTTTGAGAGGACCCAGAATCTCTAGCCAGTGGAGTAGGAAAGGTCTCTCTCTGTACAAATCCAAGACTGGAAAAGATAGCTGGGGGGGGGGGGGTTCTCAGATGCATGAATATCAATGCAAAGTTATAAATAATATGAATAACCAGGAAAACATGGCCCAATTCAAAGGAAAAAATCTTTAAAACCAAACGTAAAAAAATAGAAGCATGTGAATTACTTGACAAAGTATTTAAAATAACTGTCATAAAGATTAATGCTTAAACAGAAGGAAAATTTCCACAAATAGAAAATGTTTAAAAGAACAAAACAAAAATGGTATAACTGAATGATACAATAACTGAACTGAAAATTTTACAAAAGGATTCAAAAGTATACTTGGTCAAGTAGAAGAACCAATGAACTAAAGGACACATCATTTGAAATTATCCAGACAGAGAAGCAAAAAGAACAAAGAATAAAAGGGAGTGAAGAAAGCCCAAAGGATGTATGGGATATCATCAAGTGGGCCAATCTACTCATTATTAAAGTCTCAAAAGGATAAGAGAGTGAGAAGTACTATAAAGCTTATTTTAAAATATTATCACTAGGCTCAACGCCCGTAGCACAGTGGTTATGGCACCAGCCACATACACCGAGGCTGGTAGGTTTGAACCCAGCTGGGGCCATCTAAACAACAATGACAACTGCAACAAAAAATAGCCAGGTGTTGTGGTGGGCACCTGTAGTCCCAGCTACTTGGAAGGCTCAGGCAAGAGAATCACTTAACCCTAAGAGTTTGAGGTTGCTGTGAGCTGACCCAAGGGTTTGAGGTTGCTATGAGCTGTGATGCCACAGCACTCTACCAGGGGTAACATAGTGAGACTTTGTCTCAAAACTAATTAATTAATTAGTTAATGAATTTAATATTATCACTGAATCCTTCCCAATTTGGGGGCAGGAAATGGACATTCAGATTAAAGAACCTCAAAGGATTTTAGATGGTATGATCTAAAAATAAAAAGCCTACATCAAGACACATTATAATCAAATGTCAAAAGTCAAAGACATAGAATTTAGAAAGTAGCAAGAGAAAAATGACTCATCACATAGTAGGGGGCAGTCTTAAGACTATTAGTGAGTTTCTCAATAGAAACCTTGCCAGCAAAAAAGGAGTGATATAATATGTTAAAAGTGCTGAAAAGACAAGGAGGAACCCTGCTGTACAAGGAAAAAAAATTTACAGGAAAAATATTTCATAAAAAATGCAGGAGAGATAAAGACCTTTCCAGATAAACAAAAGCTGAAGTTCATCACAATTAGACGGGTCTTACAAGAACTGTTAACAGTTTTATGAGTTACAATTAAAAGTTGCTTAACAGCAACATATAAGCATATTAAAGTATAAAGCTCACTAATAAAGGTAAATATATGGACCAAAACAGAATAATATTGTAATGGTGGGCTTGGCGCCTGTGGCTCAAGCAGCTAAGGCACCAGCCACATACACCTAAGGTGGCAGGTTCGAATCCCCAGCCCGGGCCTGCCAAACAACAATGATGGCTGCAACCAAAAAATGGCCGGGCATTGTGGCGGGTGCCTGTGGTCCCAGCTACTTGGGAGGCTGAGGCAGGAGACTCGCTTGAGCCCAGGAGTTGGAGGTTGCTGTGAGCGTGATGCCATGGCACTCTACCCAGGGGGATAGCTTGAGGCTGCGTCTCAAATAAAAAAAAAAAATATATTGTAATGGTGGGGAATAAATCAATTTTAAATCTGATATAGAAGTTAAAATACTAATGTACAACAAAAACCACTGTAACTATGAAAGAATGTTAA